TCTACCTCGGCTTTGTAGAGGAGAAGTGTTCTCCTGCCCCATACCCCAGCCTCCCTGGCTGCTTTCAAGCCTCTCTTTCCTTCAATTCTGAATTTTATTGTGACTTATCCACTGACCCCAAGTCATTCCTCCTCATTTTCCAAGGGAACACTTATTTCACTGTCATTGCAGTACTACATTGGTCCTAATATTCAGTCGCTTCAATATACGTGTCATTGTGATTTCCAACACCTGTGTCACCCACATGGTCAGAGCTTCATCATTACCATCATTTGAAGAGCTGTTCTATACATTCATAACCTCAAGTGCATACATCCCTCTCTCTGGCTGCCACCTCAATCTGTTCAGCTCGCTTCCTCCAATACTGATGCCTCGTGCCAAATATCTTTCCACCTCAGACACCTACATTTCATTGATTCTTTCATTTCTTTTCAAAGATTACTCTTATTTCCTAAATGAAAAGTTAGACAATTTATTGTAATTAATGAATCAATGCAAAAATTATATAGATAATAATGCATACTCTCCTTATATCTTAAAGATAATCTAAGTTAGTCTGATATTTTAGGTCAACTTCTCCAAGCAGGAAACTATGAAACAATGTTTCAGATAGAAGTCATTTATTAAATATGTGGGAGAAATCAGAGAGGGAAGAAAGTAAATCGTATTCCAATGGAGAAAGAGCCAGGCAACACTGTACTTTCTGGAGAAGCCACTTAAAAAACTCTAGCATTTAAAAAACACCTGAGGGTATATCTGCCTGGAGACAAAGGCTTTGCACTCAGCCCAGTATCAAAGTCCATGGGAACATACAATCCACAGATACTGTATTTACAGCTCTCTCTTTTTTGAAAAAAAATTTTATTAGTAGTATAAAGAGAATAGATTTCATAGATACAATTCTAGGAACATAATGATATTTCCCTGCCTCCCTGTCCCTCCTCCTTCCTTTCTCTTTTTTTAATTTTTGCAAAACCATACTTTCAATTATTTTATAATCACAAGCTTAATGCTCAACTAAATGTAGTGTTCAACACCTTCTTGATGGTTTCACTCCCCTCCTTTTTAACTGTAATTCCACAGTCAATCCTTTGAATGTCCTCTTTATGCCCTATCCCTCTCTCATTCATCTCCTGTTGGTTATCAAACCTAGATATTTTTATATCCAACTCACCATCTCCTCTGTTCAGAACCTCTATAAATTTTTGACTACAAAATCAAATGGCTCCTATGCTACACAACAATCATAAAACACCTTACTCTCCAAAATAACTATCCCATGCATTCTCTTCTCTCACCTCCACATTACCTCCTATCCTCTCTGTCAGGCAATGAACTTTTTTCCTGTTTTTCTGAAAAACCAGAATCAACAAGAAAGAAACAGCCTCCATAGACTCTACTCCCCTTGCTCCCCACACATCAGTATCTGCAGCCAATGACTCCGGCTTTCTACCTGTTAATGCAGTCAATGCTTTCTGAAACCAGCCTGGATCCTTTGGCACCAGACCACAGCTATGGAAAGTTTTATGTTTGAAACTCATTTTAATATTTGCCAATTGCAAAGAGCTTCTGAAAGAATGTCAAAAGGACCTTTCATTAAGCCAGTCCCAAAGGGACAAATACCATATGTTCTCCCTGATCGGTGACGACTGACTGAACACCAAGAGGGAAACCTGTTGGAGTGAGGTGGACACTATGGGAAATGGTGGCTTGATCAGCATAGCCCTGACTGTTAATGAACAACTTAATACATTATCCCTCTTAGTAGTTTTTTTTATCTGTTCTACTTAATATGACTGGTTTAGATCTGTAATTGATGCACAGTTATTCTTAAGTGTTGAAAATTAACTGAAATGTGATCCCTGTTGAACATGGTGGTGGGAATGGGAGAGGGAAGAGATGTATAATTTGGGACATGCTCAGGCTGACTTGCCCCAAGTGGTGGAGTTGGAAGCATACCAGGGGATTCCAATTCAATCCCATCGAGGTGGCATGTACCAATGCCATCTCACTGTTCCAGGTGATCAGTTTCAGTTCACAGTTGGTCATGGTGAAGGGACTGGGAGTCAAAGGGAACACATAGACAAGTCTAGTACCTGCTAACGCTAACCGATGGAGTAAATAAAGGGGAGAGTGATCCAACATGGGAAGTGAGATACTCAGCAGACTCATAGAATGGCAGATGTCCTAAATAGCACTCTGGCCTCAGAATCAGCCCTAAAGGCATTCGGAGCTGGCTGAAAAGCTCATGAGAGTATTTCAGGCATGGAAAGCCAAGACACTCTGGCAAAAGATCTCTGCGAGTGAGATGCCAGTGGAAAGAACAGGTCATCAAAGAAGGAGGTACCTTTCTCTGAAGGGAGGAGAGAACCTCCACTTTGACTATGACCTTGTCTAAACAAGATAAGAGTCGGAGAACTCAGAGGGCTTCCATAGCCTTGGAAACTCATGACTGGAGCATAGGGAGATTACTGATGCCATAGACAGGAGTGTCAATTGGGTAAAGTCAACAACAGGAGTCACTGTGCAC